AGAGGAGAAAGCACTTTGAAACACAAATTCATGCCTTTGTCACATCCTGGCTGGATTACTGTCATGCGCTTGGCTTTGGAGTCAGCCGATCCTCCATCAAGCATCTCCAGTTGGTCCCGAATGCCGCTGCTCGCCTCTCAGCTGGTACCCGTAAGAGGGAGCACCTAACTCCTATTCTGGCATCCCTTCACTGGGTCCCCTTTTAGAGTTCTTTTGAAGATCCTACTATTTGTTTTCAAATTTTGAAATGGCTCTGCCCCACCTTACCTCTCTGAGCTCCTCCGCACCTGTCCGGTGCCTCAGGTGTGCGGACCAGAGGTAACGAGAACTAAGCGGAGGCTGAGAGGGGATGGAGCCTTTTCCATCGCCGCTAGCCTCTCTTTGGAATGAACGTTGAGTGAGCCCCCTCGCTGCCCATCTTTAAAACTCGTCATTTTGATTCTTTGGCCTTTGACTCAACATGAAACTTGATTTGTAGTTTGACTGTTCTTGTGCTTTCCACTGTCTTCGTTTTGAATTTATTGTTTTATTGTTTGCTTGTGGAGGCTCTCAGTCGTACAGGAAAGTTCCATCGTAGAAAGGGTTCTGTCAGTCGAGACAAAAACTAGTACACCCCAAAGACCGGGTTCCTAACACCCAAAAATGCAATCTGATTTATTCCATCCGTTGCCAAGAAAGTGAGTGCAAGGAACATTACATTGGAGAAACCAAACAAACACTCAAGAAAAGACTTTATCAACACAAATGGAAAAACAATGATAACAAAAGTGCAGTATACGCACACTTAAAAGAAACAAACCACACAATTGAAGATGAACAAGTAAAAATCCTAGGAACAGAAAAGAGATGGTTTGAAAGGGGGGTAAAAGAAGCGATTTTTGTTAAAAAATTTTCACCCTCTCTGAACCGTGAAGGAGGTATCAGATTTAACCTGTCTCCTATTTACAATAACTTGTTGACCAGTAAGGGACATAGACATGCTGATCAGGCTAACTGAAAGTAGCTATTCAGCCTTAGCCCAAACAATAGGCCTAATCAAGACCCAATGATAGGGAATTTAGAAACCAATGGGCCTCTAATAAACCAATAGGGGCGTGACTAACCATCCCCACCCAGTCCTCAAACAGGCCACGCTCAGCTTTTTAGCGCAGAGCAACTTCCCGGAGTCTTCACGGAGACTTCAGGGTTGTCTACCGCTGACGAAGCTTCTGTGAGAGAAGCGAAACGTCCTTTTTGCTTTTTTTTTTTGTTTGTTTTTTACCCACAGGTACAGATGACGACTGACAGAACCCTTTCTACGATGTTTTATTGTTTGTTGTATGAATGATTTTGGCTCCACGTCCAGCACTTTGTTCACAGCGGTGGTTGTTTTCAAGTGCTCAAGAAATACACTTGAGTGACTTGTACTGAACTGTGAATTTTGCCACTTAACATTGCATTTTCTTGTGGCTCCAATATGTGGGCTTCAGAAAAATCACCCGCTCCAAAATATATCTCCAATGGAAAGCTTATTTTGTGCAGTAGGCCTCAGCACCCCGTTTGTGGGTGGAGCACAGTGAAGTAGGAGGGCTCATGGGGAGTCCAAGGTGGCGGTTGGCTGAGCCCAAACAAGCGGCACGCTATTGGCCGCTGCGGCCTTGGTCACAGTCACAGCTGCTGGAATTGGAGCTCTGATGAGATCTGCAGAGGACGAAAACCCAGAGTCACACGACTCGCCTACGTTCCAACCATGGAAGGCCTGCACTACAATGCCTTTCTAGTGTCTTGCTATTTATCATGCCGCAACCTCGTCGTTGCTCGTTCCTCCTCAGCTGATTTTCCCAATGTCGCCATGACAGTGCAGATTTGGTAACAATCCGATTGGGATTCAGGTCCATTTGAGTTTTTTTTTCTAAAATGAAGCATGATTTAAAGCCGGCATACGTCATCTCTTTGAGAGGGGGCACGCTGTGGAATCTCTGCAATTGTTTGATGTGGCATGCCGAAGATGTATAATAAACAGCATCGAGCATCTATCGGCGCCGCCTTCAAAAGCGGTTGAGCCGTTGGCATTGCCGTAAACAGGAAATAGGCTAGGAGAGCGTTTTAAACGGTCCTCGCTGCTCTGTTGGATCTCAAGAGGAGATAAAACCCGGCCCATTCTGGACAACAATTATACCAGCCACACTCTGTTCTCTGAAACACAACGTTGAAGTTCGTGGACAGACCGTACAGATTTAAGGTCGCGCTCTTGTTAAATTGTATCTTCTGTTCATCTCAAATTTGAAGAGCCGATGCGACACCATATTGAAGAAAAAAAAAATCTTTCTTGAAACGTTTAAGACGATGCCTCTATTTTTTGGGTGGAGGGGGGGGGGGAGCATGCCTGCATGTCCATGTTTCATTTTGAGAGGAAACAATCGTCCTAGCGGCCTCTGGTGGCCAAGCTCAATATTGTCCTTCCCGCAACCAGCACTCCCCTTCGCGCATCTCGGCCCTGCTGCTCCTCCAGGCCACTTAGTCAACCACAATGAGCACTTGTCTTGCTGATTCTACTGCTTAAGTAATAAGATAAGACAATAACTAAGAAGAGATTACAATTAACTCTCATTGGAAGGGCACGTGACCATATCTGGTACCGGTAAAGAGGGAGGGAAGGGCAACGGATGGCAGGGCTGTGGACTCAACACCGCGGAGGTGGGGTTTACTTTAGAATGAGGCGGCGTTCGGAAATCAGGGCCTGTCTCCAAACTAAGCAAAACACTCCAAGCTGTACCCAGATGTGCCGCTTTCTTTTGTGATGTCAAGTTAACTGGAGTGCATGCATATGCATCTATATATTTATATATAGACAGTATAAAGCATAAAGCAATCTATCTCTCCCAAGGATCAAGAATATGATCACACTTTTCACTCCTCGGTTCTTGTTTCGCCAAAGTGAACATATTTTTATGGGGCGGCATTGTCTCATCTGAGTAAGCGGCTGTAATGTGAGAAAAGAAAATCCTTTCATGTTCCCTCGCGGGGCAATTCCGGTGTTACAGCATCTCTGCAGAGCACCAAGGACCTGCACTGCTGGGTTGCGAGGCCCGAGTCCAGACCCGAGGCTCTATTTTGGTAGACTGCGTATGTGTGGATCCAGATTTTGGCATCGGCGCAAAGCCTGCCGCGTGTTTGCCAATTTCACAAGGTTGGACAAGGCCAAGTTGGGCCAGCGCGGCAGAGGGACTGTCATGGGAGATGTGGCTGGCGGAGAGACAATTTGGTGGCTGGCAGAAAGTCCATCTCAACCTTACGCCTGCTCAGAACGCGTCATGACAGATTTCATTCACACGGCCGGCCTCTGTCATCATATTGATCAATGAATTGAACACATCATTATTGAAGCGACGTCTTGCGGATCAGAATCTAACGCTCATAGTTCATGCTGACCGGAGCGAAATTGGCGTTGACAAGATGCAGGGTAAACCGTGCAGGGACGGCGCCTTTGCCTTGATCGTGTTTCTCTGGCCGTCACTCAAAAGTGACTCTGGATCTTCGTCCATCATTGCTCATCAAGTCATGGGTGGCAAAACTCGAGGTAAGGGTTGTTATTTTGTCACTTAGCCCAGGTGTTACGCGACGGTGGAGTGGAAGTGCAAAACGACTTGCGCAGCGACATGTTATCAGATCAAAAAGATTTTTTTTTTTAATTTCCCACGTGATGGGTGGGAACTATGTGCATGTATTTGCATGAAGAGGGTGGAGTTGAAGGAACGGGAAGACGTCTGAGTGGACGACGTTGCGATTCACTGAGGTGTGCTTTCAGCATAAACTATTCTTCTGCTGCGTTCATTCGTTCCAAGATTTCCCTCTTCCCATTCGCTCTCGTCTGGCGGGTGTGGTTGAGCGGACACGCGCTCCTCCTCCATCTGCCCAGTCTGAATGGAAAAAGCAGATTCACTCGGGGAAATGATGTTTGTGGCGCCGCCTTCCTCTCCATTTTTAGATTTGAAGAAAGGAAAATAATTTCCTTTCTTCACAGCGAGGCGCAACACGGTCCCCAACACGCTAAACTTGACGTGCCACGGCACCAACATGACGTTGTGCCCATTCTACACCGAGCGCTTGGGCACCTGGCTACCAAACTGGGGCCCAATGTGTTCTCATAGCTTGAATGTTGTTCATGCTAAAATAGCTAACAATAACAACTGGAAAACATGCCTTACTTGTAGGGATTTTTTTTTTTACAGATTAAGCAGAACATTTATGAACACCGGATGCTGGTGGTTTTTAAGCAAACACAAGAAAACGCATTTGCCACAAATCCTTCTCACAACGCACAACAAGGCCACAGATGGGGAATATCTTGCTTCTCTGAATCCGTTGGTAACGTTTCTGGGATTACGTGACTCGATGTCACGTCTCAGAACTCAAATCTTAATCCGGGGATCGACCAAGTAAGTAGAATATACATAAATCCAATTCCAAACGTCATCACCCAAACACAATATACAACAACAATCATACACATACAGACCTCTATTTAGGGAAAAAAGTCGACTTACAAATGTAGGAATTTGAAGTAAAACGTCTGAAAAAATGAATACTCAAGTACATACAGTATACCTGAAGAAGCCACTTGACACTGTGACCTTAACGACAAGAAAGAGACCCACTGATCACTTGTTGAAGAAGTAGCAGCGAAAACTTTTGGGAATTGCCCGACGCATTGACCTTCAACACGACTTGATGTCTGCCGCATTAACGTTCTTCAATTCAATTTGGGGCGCAAAGATAGGCTCACGCAGCAACAAGCCCCAGTCCGTGTTTGTCGTCCAGAAAAAACAATATTCATCACCTTCCTTGCTATTCTACCTCTCTCAGCGTGACGAGTGCATGCTGCCAACCGACAAGGAGGCACGCTAACGTGGGCACACTAGCGGACTAACCAAACTCGATCGGCATTTCCAGGGTGCAGGCAGAACTAGCTCGATCAAAACATTTGACAATTACGCCGGATAACCGCTGGTACGAACAACAGTGCGGAAATGCTTATGGCTCGATGCATTACCGGGTCGCATTTTAGGCTTTGCCTTCAACCTCGAAATGTGATCAATGCAATCAAAATGAATGCCCGTCTTTAGCTCGTGAGAGGAAAACTATCCATGCGGTTGTCTTCGTCACCGAGCCACATAAGCACATCTGTGAGTGGCTGGATCACTCAAGGAAAAGCGCACTCTTGTGGACTCAGAGAGGAAACAAGTCATTTTGTTTTATTTATTTTTTATTTTTTTACACGTGTCCGGATTTCTCCACGCTTGCCGGATTTGCAGAAAGTTGGTGGCGTGGTCAAGGCGCTTAAGGGACAGCTGATGACGCGCAGTTTTAACTTGAGGTGTTTATTGTTGGTGACCTCGGTTGTCTTTTTTCCTTCCCTGGTGCACTTTCAAGCATGTTTCGCTCTCTCGATCGAGCGGCGCGCGTACACCAAGCCAGAAACGCACGGCGCCCACTCCCTGAGATTTCTCAATTTGACATGGAGTGCCTTCATATGCCTCCTGCCACGTCACCCACCATCGCGCGTCTTTGTTTCTGTAGACTTATCGGATTTCATTCGACATGAACCGCCTATTTTGGTGGCGCAGTCAATCGATCAATCGCACAAGCTTCAACCCTCTCTGCACTTTCATTTCTAGGCTTGTGTCGCCCTCAAGCGGACATTATTGGAAGCTACATACGATGTACCGCGTTCCGGAGAGAGAGAACGAGGGTGAACCCAAGAGTTAGCGGTGCTGGATCACAGTCGAGCCTCGTTCCTCCACACCTCGAGGGACATCACGAATCTGTACTTAAGAACGGTAGTTCGTCGTAACTATTTCCAATCAAATGGCCGCCAACTACGATGTACAGGGCAGTATAAGCATGAAGATGTAATACAGTATAAACATGTCAATGACGTGTTACAGTATGACGAAAAAAAAACGGATTTTATAAGACATGAAATAAACTGTAGAGCTCCTACTTGATCTCATTGCCTCATCAAATAGCAAGTGGCTTCTCCAGTTCAGGATGTGCCGCACCCTGAAGCCGTTAACGATCATCTTTCAAGCTGTTGGCCACCAACTTTGCCAAGCTTCCGTTTGGCAGACATCTTCGGACACTCTGTGCGTCGTGTCACCCGGAAGTACAACCATGTACGGACAGGGTCAATCAGTAGTGTTGCTGAGCAACGGAGGGGAATCTCAAGCCGTTCATAAGCACTGGTCGTGGTGGCAGTTTGGTGGAACCAAAGCCTTTTCACTATTTTGTGGGGAAAATCCGGCCGTTATAATGACGTTGACATTAAAATGACTGTTGTTCTGTCTCCCCTGCAGCCAAAGCAAATATAATCACCCACATTCTACAAGTGGTTCTGTGCGGTATCACAAAAATAATGTTTTCTTTTGCTTTGTTTTATTCTGTCTGCAGCCAGGTTGGCATCACATCTTTTCTCAGTTGCCATACCTGGATAAATAAAAATTGAATCAACATATATTTACTGCACCGCAATCAATCTTTTTGTGGATAATTTCATACAAAGTCAATTTGATGATGACATGAAACAAAGTAACATAACAGGTGATGGCAGACACAGCAATAAAAATGTCACCAACTCACAAAGCAAATGTTAGTTGATCCCATCTGGTGTGGGCTATTTCACTGATGTTCATGAACTGTTTATCAGTTTCTCCATTTCGTGAGATGAAAATATAGCATCGATCAGTAGTAGCACCGCACTGTGTGGTTTGTGACATGTTCAATAACGGATGTCTTGAATGGAATTTGAATCACACGACGGACATGTGAAGATTTAGGAGCTTGGAAGCCATCAAACAGCATCATTCGCCACTAATGGCGTCACCGTGTCATGACAGATGTCCTGCATGACAAAAGACAAGATCCCTGCGAGGAATTGAGTTCACAATCAAGAGTTGGCACCAGTGCGCGGCCCTCTGATGATTTGGCTCCTGGCTTCATCATCTATTTCGTCCAGGATTCTCTCCTGTTTTACGGACAGGATGGTGTAACTAACTGGAGGACTACTGGTTAAAGGAAAACATTTGAAGATGAAGAGAAGACCTACAAATGAGACGTTTTAATTACCAAAGGAAATGTGTGGGAAAATTTTGTGGATTTTCAAGCGGGGAAATATAGTTTCTTTCGCAACCAAACGCAGCTCATCTTCAACAGGTTTTACACCTCATGGTTCCACTTTTTAAGAGGCGTCTCCTGAAATAAGGAGACTAATAAAGGTTTTCTTATCTTATCTTATCTTATCTTACTTTTCAAAACAAGGTGGTTATGAGTGCTTCAAGGAACACTATTAAAGACCCAGATTAATTCCAATTAATCAGACTGGGACCACCTCTGCCTCATTTTGACCCAGGAAAACCACTGATTTACGACGTTGCATGGTGGGGTGGGACGCTGTTCTGATATCATTTACACGTATAGTCGTTTGATTCAAGAGCCTCCGCGACCCTTGTGAGGCTGAGCGGATCACAAAATTAATGGATGGATGGGTGGGTGTCTGATTCAAGAGCATCTCACGTCACATGAAAGTTTGTAACGGTGATCCTCAGCAAAATGTCTCGTCTATAGAGGGCTGCGTCCTTTTAGCAATTACCCACAATGCACTACTGTTATACGTTCTGTTATAAACAAGCCATACATGGCTTGTTTACGTGTATGGCTTGTTTATAACAGCCCTCCAATATGGCCGCCGGTAGAGCATTGTGGGTAATTGCTAACGTGAATAAATACACTTTTTAGGTTGAGCATGCAACAAACTGTGACGCTAGGGAGCGCATAAGTACTTTTAGACAGCTGATCACAGAAGCAGGGTTCATTTATGTCCTTTTCTATTTTCTGTTCAATGACATTTGGCGTTACATCACAACAGACCGAAGGGTCGTTCGTGGACAAGGATACACATGCCGACGACAAACGCGCCAATACACAAGCCGGTCACAAGATTCCTGCTGCGGATCCGCAATGAGTTTTTCTTCCAGTAGTCCAACTCTTGTCGGCGGCGAAAGAGCTGCTTCTCCGCCGCCGTATATGTCCGTTCCGCCGACTTCGTCGCGTCTCCCTCCGCCATGACGCGTTCGAGTGATCGCGCATAATGATGACGTCTCCGATTTTACACATGATGATTCGCTGAACGAGGAAGAGGTGATGGCAATTGGCTGTGCGAGAGAACAAAAGTTGTGATTGGCTGGTCAGACGAGTAAGGCCGATGGTCGGGAACATGACTTCTAGCGCCCCCTTTTGACACGTGAAAAATGCGACTTTCCTAAATCCCGCGCGTGTTCAGTGGAGGAGACCGTGAAACTGTGAGTGTTCACATGTACGACGACGGCATATCAACCAGTGACGGATGGAAAAAATGACGAGATTTGCTGTAATTAGCACGCCAGGCTAGTTTTGTTGGCTAAAAGACGATCTGCATGACCGCCAACTGTTTGCTGCCCTGCTCACGTCGAAACTTTCTTCACATTCTAAGCACACAACTGCTAGAAAGCATTGACATTGGCTGGTTTTGGCTGTGCAAGCAGGTCGTTGAGGGAAACCCAGCTAAAAATAGGGGAACATGTATAGCTGTCCCCATTCTCAAGACACGGTGCCTCAAGTTCAGCTTTCAGTATGCTCAATGAAAAACTCAAGAGAACGTTAACGTAGAAAATCAACAACTCTGTTTTTATGGCAATAATCTCGAGGCTAAAAGAAACACAATGTGTAAAGTACATCAGATCATTCAGAAGCAGGAGTGTTTAATGAAGCTTTCAGAATTTGGGTTGGTGGGAGAGGAGAAGGTTGGAAAGAGTCAGGAAGATTCTTAGCATACTCCACGAGCTCGTACGACTCTCGGATGTCTGTAAGGCCCCACCAGAACACGATCCATTCCCCATTAGCAAAGCTCCCTTCACAATGCTTGAAGTACCTGGAGAGACAGACAGAGAGAGGAGGAGACATTTTAACAAGGTGTGACTGCCATGACATTTTCAAACATTCATCTTTGAATACAATAGTCTGATATGTAATTAGAGCTGTATGAATACACATATTTTGTCAACGTGACCATCTCATCATGAGCATATTAGTTATCTCTTTATTTTTTTTGTGTAGGTTTTACCAGGGATTAACTTTGTTGTTGGTTTTGGACCTCCAGAAGAGTTTGCCCAGGTCTTGTCTAATACACTCCCACAAGACGTGGCCTGTGCCCTGGCCCTGCTCAGTGCTGCTCACCACCAGTTTATCCAGATAGGGCGTGTTCACCACCTCCAAGGTGACAATGGCTGCCGCTGTGTAGCTGAACATACACAAAGACATTTTCTAATCTGCTTCTCCTCACGGGGGTCGCGGGCGTGCTGGAGCCAATCTCGACTGAACAGGGTCGCCGATCCCAGTTGATTTAGCGGAAGGCAGACTACACCGTGAACTGGTCGTCTGTCAGTCGCAGCGCACATATAGAGACAAGTTGCGCAAAACCAAGTTGCTTCCTAAACGTCTCGGTAAGATTATTAATTGTGACAAATGAAAGGTAAAGGTTCTCATCTGATGCCCGATTGCTGAAATAATTGATGATGAGGAAGCATAGAGAATTTCATATGGCTCTTATATTACTGAAAATATGTCAATGAAGGTCCCCCTTAATTTCCATACATAAGTGAGATAAAGGCAGATTATTGTTGCGGCACTCTCGTCTAATACTGGGAAAGGAGCACTCACCCTTCAGAGAGATAGACCGAATGCAGGCGGCCTTTGAGGGACTCCATGTAATCTCGCTTCAGAGTTTTGTCAAACGTTTTGTTGATGAGAGCCAAAAGACGATTCACATCAATCCCATCGAAGGAAGTGTACCTGCAAAAGTGCAAACGATGAGTCGTAGAAATTGCGAGTTGGACAACTGAACACACATTCATCCTATTGGCTTTTTACCGATTTATGGGGTCTCTGTTTTTAAATAGTGATCCGGTTCCTAAAGTAAAAGGACATTGACACTCAGACACAGTATAGAGCAATTTAAAAGTGGCTACAGGAAGGCATATTTAAAATCACCAGTCTGAGTATGCATGTGTGCACTGTGCACGTGTTTAAAAAAAACAACAAAAAAAAGTGCACTAGTCAGCACCTCTGTGGCTAAACAGCTCTGTCAGCAGCGTGTCAGCGGACGTAATCACTGCAGAGGACTCTGTCGGCAGACGGTGAAGCAGTCTGGCTATACCAGCCACTCTGTGCCGCTCTTTTGCGCTTAGCCATGGTGCCATGGACAGTTGAGGCAGGTCGCCAGGCAACCACACCGTATCCAACACCTGTGAAGCAAACCGCCTCCACTCGCATCAAGTAGGATTCTTCACGTTTTCCAGACCACACTGACTAAACCATGCATTTAGAATACAAAGTGTGGCACGTGATTATACAGTTGATCACAAGACATGTTCAAGGGAAACATTTGCAGTCATGCCTGGTTTTGCTGGTTCCGCAGGCCTCCCGTGTTGGTCAGGAACATGACTTTGTGGGGCTGCAAAGCATGAGAAATTGCCGCCGTGACTTCCATTGAGTCCAAAATGGCAGCGCGACCTCGTTCGTCTCGCCGTGCAGGGCAAATCAGAGGAATCATCCCACAGTTGAGACTCCACTGGAGGAGGCCCGTATCAACCCAAAGGGATGGTCCAGCGCTGCAAGGACAGGAGGAGGGACTTGGTGAAATCTCCATGCATCCATTTTGTTTGCAATTGACTGCGGAGAACCTTTTTTTTTTCCCTCACCTGCTTCCATGCGAAGCTTTTTGCAGCATGAGGAAGACTTCGGCTGAGAAGAATGGCAGAACGGTTGCCGACTGCTGTTGCAAAGCCTCGGTCAGCTGCTGAGTTTGCGCCACAAGAAGCCTGGAATTCTGAGACTCCCCCACTGGTGGAGCGTCATCGTGCGACATGCCCATCACCACCACGGGTTTCATGTCCATTCGCTGTAGGAATGCGAGCCCGAAGGCCAGACTGCGAACCATGTCCGTGCTGTCAAACACCGAACTGTCCACCTAGAAGGGAGAGGGCATTGAAAAACTCAAAATCATCTGGAAATAAAACATTCTTACTTCAACCGAATGTCTTGGACATCAAACTGGAACATCATTTCGACTGGCATCAAGTCATGAATTCTTACTCGGTCGTTTGGTCGTGTCGTGATAGTTGGGAGAGAATCACCAGTCAGCCATTTGAATGGCCAAGCCCAAGTCTTGTTCTCTTTCGTGACGTTTGGTGTCATTTATGGATTTATTGTTGGATTACTGCTATTACTCAACTGTTTTTGAGTTCATAATCATCCGACTGTTGTTCGACTAATGTACAGGTAACAGCGCTAATTACGTCTCATTAAGTTTCATCAAGGTTTGCGCTGTCGATGCAATTATGTCTAATTCAAGTGATGCAGATTGAGCACAAGTGTCACTCAAGCAATCTTCTGGTAATTAGCACAACCTCGTATCATGTCCTTTTCATTGATTTCGCCCGCACCCTCGCGAGTCTAATTGGACGCCGATGAGACGCGCCACGCGTACGGCAGGCAGCACGGCATCACACCTCCACGACGGCAAAAGGAGACGAAGTCGCTCTCTGGAACTGGGCGAGCCAGTAGCGGGCTTCCCTGGGGTTTCCGCCGACTTGGCTGAGGAAAGCCTTCACGTCCCGGGATATCACGTTGGCTTTGGCCCCGCCTGCAAGGGAAAAATGACGAGCCGCGGTCTTCCGTGCCATTCTGGACGCGCCGGGGCTCGACGCGCGACGCGGGGCGTCCCCCGTGACCCCTCTCGCTTGCAAGCCGTTTGGCAATGCCAGGTGGGACTTTGTTGAGAGGTACTGACCCGCCATGACCACTGCCCGGTAGCCGGACTGTCCTCTCTTGACGGTGGCCATGCCGTTTGCGGGTGGGACATTGCCGCCCACTCGCTGGCGAGCGGGCTCTCAAGTTTTTTTTTTTTTTTTGTCTGCAGCCGGCAGAGGGGGTCCTCTCTAAATTTACGCCCCCTTTTAAAGGTACGCCCACACACCTCTGAACCCCTGGGGCGCTAAAGTAGCAAAAGGTCCACCCATTCGCTATGTGGAAGTGCTGCTCCTCACGGGGGTCGCTGGCGTGCTGGAGGCATCTCGGTGGACTTCTGGCAGTAGGCGGGCTACACCCCCAACTGGTTGCCCGCCAATCGCAGGGCACACATAGACAAACATTCCCACTCTCAGTCACACCAAGGGACAGTTTAAAACACTGGTGTCAAAGTCAAGGCCCCGGGGCCAGATCCAGCCCCCCCCTCCCCACATCATTTTACGTGGCCCGCGGGAGCAAATCATGTGTGTTGACTATCATGATTCTTGCTGAAATCTGGACCGAAATGTCAAACTGTCACAGGTAATAAATAACGTTGAGATTTTGCACCGGCCCTCCGAGGGAAGCCGTAAATCCGAAGTGACCCGTGACAAAAAATGAGTTTGACATCCCTGGTTTAGGGTGTCCAAACAACCTACCGTGTATGTTTTTGGAATGTGCGAGGAAACCCGAGTAAACCCGCACGAGCACAGGGAGAACATGCAAACGCCACACCGGAAGGCCGGGGCCGGAATCGAACCCATGACCAAAACATGTGGTGGTAAGAGCCGAGGAGGAAACCAGCCGTAGACGTGTTGCTTTTGGACAACCGAAGCAGCAAAGATTTATGGAGTTTCCACAAACACTTATTTATTCTTAACGAAATCACAGTCCCTCAGTGTTACCACACGCTACTTAAGAGCACGGCGGTCGGGTGTAGGGAAAAAAAAAGTGTACAACGAAAGTTCTGAAGGGAAAAAAAAAGGTGACTGACACAACACCTTGACGTGCGCGCGCTATTCTTTTCAAAGGATGGACATGAGCTCCCCTTGTTGATTTCTCTTTGACCGCGTTGATTGCATGAGTGGCGAGTTGCAAATAAAATGGCACAATTGTATATGCCGTCAGTAGAGTTCATGAGTACTTACTTTGATGCATTGTTGTCTGCCACTCCTCCTTGCCTATCGCTGCCTCTCATCACACAACTGCCTCGGAGACATTCCCACACGTGGCTGCGCGCACGCACACACAAGTACAATCTTCAGGAAGTCATTCGGAAATGTCGGATCAAAGGACGTTTTTTGTTTGTTTTTGGGTTTTTTTTGGCTACCAAAGGCAAACATTCTGTTCTCTCACGATGCAAATGATGCTACAGCACTACTGCAACATTCCAAAATGATTTTTTTATTATGATAGGATACTGTTGATTTTGAAAAGTGTGTTTTAAGTGTGTTATTTATGTTCGATTTTTTTTTTTTTTTTTTTTGTCGTGACGAACTTGTTCCTATCTAGCAACGCACCTGGAGTTTGCGAAACGAATTTGGATTTGAAAAAAATAAGATATGTGATGTGATCTGCAGAGGGCAGTAGACACATTTGGACTCGTGACGTGACGGCTGTTTTGGGCTTTGGGAACGTTTCATCAAAGCCAAATGTCAGACAGAGGCGGCAACAGGACTCACACTCTGTACCGAGGAAAAAGTTCATATACTCGTGTAAAAATATCGCCTCGACTCCTGTACTTACGTAAAATAAAATTGAAAAATAATTATCTTCAATAGGCTCATTGTTGGGGAGTAGCTCGCTTTTCCGAATCTGTTCCTCCGTTTTTGCTGCCTAATAAGACCACAAGATCTCAGCCTGACTTGACCTCTTTGCGATGTCGTGTCATCACCCTTGAAAGTTGTCAAAAATAAGTAACAACCCATTTCTGGCAACTAGAAGAAAGCAACAGACTGATCGAGTATGGCGAGCAATCTTCCAAGTTGTCACACACAATGACGACAGCTGGCCGGCGTCGGCGTAGACCGCCTGGCCAAGTGGCAGCCTTGGGGGTTCACTCTTGCGTCACACGTCCAGTTGGGAGTCAATCTGGGTTGCGAAAAGCGTCAGACATTCCCCCAAAGGTGGAATTGATTTGATTTGCACGTTGGAAGTGTCAGCAGTCAAGAGCATGGCGTCTGAACACATTCCAAACCAAATGCCGCATTACAGTTATTCTTGATTGATTGTTGTCGAGCAAGTTTGTTTTGCTCAAGGGACTCATGCGGCCATAAAGACAGGGTAGCTCACATAGAAATAGAGAATGAAATTAATGGCATATTGTGCGTAACGATGCAAATATCGAATGACAGGTTCGCGCCGCTCACATTTCATACTTTCGTTTGCACGCCGATTGCGCAATGTCTGCCAGTATTTGGGGATGGCTTGCTAATTTGTTTGAACTTCGGTTATGACGACGGTATCGGGTGAAGATCTCCCGAGACTGATGCTGGAATCATCCGGTTTCGCACTGACCCGCATGCTCAGCACTGCGCGGCTCCTCTTCTCATTTGGCAGTGACTCACTCACATGAAAGAGAGCTGTAGCGCCCCCAGTTGAAGCACTCTGAAATCACACACAAGACACAAGTTTGCCATCTTCTATCAAAAGGTGAGTTCCGGGGTGATTACATCTGTTTTCCAGCTTGTGAAAAATGTTTTTATTTAATTCTAGTACCACTGATTTGAAAACGACCGGTGGTGGGCTCAGGTGGACGCATACCGGGAGAAGTACAGTACTTCGATCATTCCTCGCAAAACGGAAACAAAGCGACTGACCGAGACCACGCGAAAAGCTCGTGAACATTGCGGTGTGAACGCGGCACAGACGAGACACAGATCGTCTTTCCAAGTGACGGCATACAACATGAGGCGGAAGTTGGCAAAGCCGTGCGGAACCAGATCGGACGAGGACTAAACGTGATTTCAAACGTGCTCGGTGCTTCTGGGTGAACGAGAAGATCAAAAGCCATGTCGGCAAGGTGACCAGGATTCAAAAAATTCAGCAAAAATACTCCCAATTTTATGACAGCACGCTTTGTTGTTTCGACATTTGAATCTGACAGCGTAAACATCTTTTTACACAAGAACTGTGAAGTATGCTGCGAACTTACAGTCCGGTTCGTGAAAATTGGAGGTTTCTTGTCAATCTGGGACTCCTACACTTTGTGAAGTCAAGCTCCAGTCACATTTCAACAGGAAGCAAAGGAGCAGGAGAAGGCTGAAGGAAAAACATCCCATTTCTTTCGAAGTTTCTGAGCAGCAATTACAGGAAGTGTTCCCAGATGCGTTTTGACACCGAAGGAGCAAAATGTAAACATATCTGCACAAAGTCTCCCTGGTCTTTCAGGGTTTTTTTTTTTCGTTTTTCAGGGGTGGGGGGGGGCATTTTTGTTTCACGGTGAAAAAGATTTGATACAGAGTTTCAATAAACGAATAATCAAAGGGAACAAAACTGAACGTGTGTCTGGTTATTTGAGAATGGCGGGTTTGTTTGTGGACGATTTTTATCTTTTTGCTCAGAGTCTTTTTTTCTCTCAAGTGACTTGAACGCGAAACAAACTTAGTTCCAAGAGCACAAGATGAATTCACGGATACTCACGCGGTGTCCGAAGTGCAGTCGAACTTTGCGTTCACTTCATCCGGCGCTAATGCTAACTCAACGCCGCGGTAGTGACGTGCACTGAGGTCCGTGGCTGGCGAAGCACCGACATTGGAAACAACAACAAAAGAAAACAAATCATTAGAACTTGGTGTACTCATACAATACGATACCATGACTTTATATTTGACTTGAACGCAATACCCCGCAAAACAGGAAGCATAAAACGGACATTTGGTGTCATGGTAGTTAGTAATTCAGCCACATACGCAGCCGTTTCATAAAGTCATGTCGGCAAGGTGACCAGGATTCAAAAAATTCAGCAAAAATACTCCCAATTTTATGACAGCACGCTTTGTTGTTTCGACATTTGAATCTGACAGCGTAAACATCTTTTTACACAAGAACTGTGAAGTATGCTGCGAACTTACAGTCCGGTTCGTGAAAATTGGAGGTTTCTTGTCAATCTGGGACTCCTACACTTTGTGAAGTCAAGCTCCAGTCACATTTCAACAGGAAGCAAAGGAGCAGGAGAAGGCTGAAGGAAAAACATCCCATTTCTTTCGAAGTTTCTGAGCAGCAATTACAGGAAGTGTTCCCAGATGCGTTTTGACACCGAAGGAGCAAAATGTAAACATATCTGCACAAAGTCTCCCTGTCTTTCAGGGTTTTTTTTTTTCGTTTTTCAGGGGTGGGGGGGGGCATTTTTGTTTCACGGTGAAAAAGATTTGATACAGAGTTTCAATAAACGAATAATCAAAGGGAACAAAACTGAACGTGTGTCTGGTTATTTGAGAATGGCGGGTTTGTTTGTGGACGATTTTTATCTTTTTGCTCAGAGTCTTTTTTTCTCTCAAGTGACTTGAACGCGAAACAAACTTAGTTCCAAGAGCACAAGATGAATTCACGGATACTCACGCGGTGTCCGAAGTGCAGTCGAACTTTGCGTTCACTTCATCCGGCGCTAATGCTAACTCAACGCCGCGGTAGTGACGTGCACTGAGGTCCGTGGCTGGCGAAGCACCGACATTGGAAACAACAACAAAAGAAAACAAATCATTAGAACTTGGTGTACTCATACAATACGATACCATGACTTTATATTTGACTTGAACGCAATACCCCGCAAAACAGGAAGCATAAAACGGACATTTGGTGTCATGGTAGTTAGTAATTCAGCCACATACGCAGCCGTTTCATTTGTCACGCGCGGCAATGACGTGATGTCATCTTCAGTCGACGTCTTTCTACCTCCTCCTGCTTCGCTCCTCTGTGGATATCATGATGATAGAAAAAGAGGAGCCAGACACGCCGGAACATATTGACTTCCATCAACGCCGCCGCTTGACGTCATCTTCTTTTGTGCATGTCACTCAACGTCGTGCTTTGTGTGCACGCGAGCCACCTCGCAGACAAGTTCCATTCACATTAGAGTCGCGTTTTGTTGCGGTGATGTGAAGAATACATGAAAAAATAAAATAATGTACATTAGGTATGATATCACCGTGCAGTGTGTACGTCATCTTCGAGTAGCACAATGCATTCCGTGCCAGTAGCGTCGCTATTCCAGCGCTTTTGGCCATGGTGTGACCAAGTCAGAAACCAAGAAGAAGAACCACCACGTGAACCTTTGTGCTGTCGTACGCTCGCTTCAGTCAGGCCGAGCACTGGCTGCCCCACCTCTGGCTTTTCGTGCCATCAGCAAAATGAAACATGTAACACACAAACATTAAATTCATTAGCCTGACCATGGAAACGTGGAGTGTAGAGTAATAAGAGTGTCTGAAAGCATATGATCAGAGTGAAACAGGCCTTTGCGCAGGCAGGCCTCCTCCACCACTCGATGTGGATCTTCGATGAGGCTTGGCTGCTGAGAACCTGCCCGGCCCGTCTCCCGCCACGGCACGTCCCTGCGCCAAGCTAAAGAGCAAGCTCCTGGCGCGTGCTATGGGAGAGACTGACTTTGGATGGCATTCAGATCACAATGGCGACAAAGGCGCGGTCGACTGCTTAGCACGCCCGCTTCACAGTGCAGACGTGCGGGGTTCGCTTCCGGGCCCCCGTGGGGAGTTTGCGCGACGGACCGGCACCGAAGGGCCGAATCTGGACGGGAAGCGCGCCACGATTGGGCGAGGTCTGCTCAGTGACAATCACATTTTCACATTGACAAACTTCTTTTCGTCCTTGTCGGAAGCAGGCCACGAATACAATGAAAAGAACACCAACGTTGGCCATTTTAATGCCGCGCCGGTGCAATACGTGTCCGAATGCAAGGTCCCTAACGACATCTCGTTGCGGTTCGAGTCTGCGAATTAAAATGCAAGAGAGGATTCGGTATCAAACTTGGACAGGGTGAAGCTTCAAGGTGTCAACAAAAAGGATAATTACAGTATTTGCACACACAACAATAGGCGTGTTTGAGATGACGAAACTGATGAGAGTGACAAACTGTGCGAACTGTGTGGGAAAAATATGTGCTCGGTGATGCTCCTCTCAAGTGACCGCAAAAGCAGGACGTGATGAGCAGGTTGAGCAAAATCTTCATGAATGGAGCTCCGAGTAGAGAAGACGCGGGCGACAGCGTGGCCACGGGTGGCATTCTGCAAATTGTGACGATTACATTTGGAGAAACGTTGAACTGATACATTGACTTTGCGTAGTGTGCTGTTTTGAAACTTCTTTTCTTGTTGTGACCTCGGATGCCTGCGATTAGGAGAGCCTGGGGGGGGGGGGGGGGGACCCGCAGATCCGACTCAAGCTTGCGCGCGGAGCGGATGCGGAGGCTCGAAGACCATTGACCTACGTAATAACGCGGGCATCCAGATGCGCCGTCGCCTCCTGGGCGCACATCGGCCGAGCACATGCTCCGCCTCTGTGTAGCGAAATAGAAAGGTGACGAGGCTTGCAAGGATCGCGACTTTGTTTTTAACGGCAATTAGCGGAGTTGATCTTTGTCGAACCAGTTCGTACTCAAACTAGAGCAGCAAGTCGCAAATCGTTTGATGTCTGTGGCGCTTTCAGCCTCAGGCGAAAATCCGCAGCAGGCAGGGAGTGTCCACTTTGCGCACGGTCTCCCAAACTTGCCATGACTATGCCGTTGTTGAACGATTCCCTCGCCGCTTTTTCACACGGGAGAACAGTCCCAGATCCGAAAAAGGTTTGCCGGTGTCGAAAATGAAACCACTGAGCCGACGAGGTTGAATTTCACACGTGATGCCAAGATTCGGAAATGCTCCGTTTTTACATCTTGCAAAATCATTTGAAATGAGTACTGTACTTCCTCTGAAGATTGGCACTTTTCTCTCACCAAGCTTTCATAAAATGCGGCATTCAGAGATCGGTAGCGGGCAGTCAGATGCGAAAATTGAGTGCGCTGATGTGATTTGCGCTCTTCTCCTACCTCCCCAAAGTTCTATCAGCCGTATCCATTGTTTGCAAAAGCACGTCCATCCGACAGACACGCCTCAGGACAGATGTCGGAAGGATATTCCGGAGAAAGCCAAGGAGTCGAGGAAGCCACGGTTGAGCAATTAGCAAGCATTCCGTCCTGCGCGGAGGCTCGTTATTTGCAGGCCCGCCAGGCCATTTGGAAACAGTTGAAAGGGGCCCATTCCACTTTGTTGTTGTTTATATGATTGTCTGCGTTGAGAGCGGCCAATTAGCGCACGCTCCACTTGTGCTTCCCACCACCCGCGTTTTCTTGTCGGATGCCCTCCGCACATTCCTGGTCAATTTCTGTTGAATTTTGGCTGCGCGAACTACGTGCTTATTTCTTGGTATGACTGCGGCAATATGGATAGCCTAGCATAAACTGATGGTCACGTCAGATCAATATCCGGGAGACAAATCTTGTCGTCGTCGCACATCTGCTCGTGTTGTCAAATCTCCGATCCGCGTTATCCTCACAAGGGTCGCGGGGGAGGGGGGTGCTGGAGCCTATCCCAGCCGTCTTCGGGCAGTAGGCGGGGGACGCCCTGAACCGGTTGCCAGCCAATCGCAGGACAACCCATCGTATCCCAGGCAAATAAAATAGCATGAGCAAAATGATGACTGTCGGTCACAGAGAGGACCTGCCCCGCGATTGATGGGCAACTAAACGAGGGTCGAAGTGGCCTCTTGCCCAAAACTCAGCCGTGACAGCCTCTAGCTCAACCGCAACCCGAATGAAGATGAACAGTGTCGAAAGCGGACGGAGGGACAGGCGCGGAGAGCACTGGAAGTCTGTCCGTCTCCTTCAAGGATTCGGGCCAAACCACTCGGGTAGCACGCACAGAAGTCAGGCGGAGTCTTCTGGGTTTCACAGACTCTTTTATGAGAGGAAGTGACAAAGTTTCCCGCAAGCTCTTTCCGCTGACGATGACACACTGTGCCAAGAATGAACACACGCATCAGGTCTGAATTTTAGACTTTATACCGAGGGGCAAACTGTTTTCACTTTTTGGGCTGTGTGGTTAAATCTGAAATTTTTTATGTAGCCGCTCACGTTACAAACTCAAATGTGAATAGAATTACGGTCGATCGCCCCAACATTCATGCGACTTGGGGTGCGACCAAAATTGAAACAAAGGTCAGCGCGCATGACTGCCGGGCGTTCGCCAGAGAACACACACATGATGAGCCGCCAATATGTCTGCACTACAATCATTGGTAGGTGACAGTTGACAATTGTGATAATTGCCACCTCACAGGAATGCGTTTCAGAAAAGTAACAGATATTGATGTCGACTCATTGCAATCCAAATGGATTTGACGAATGACAAATGGCATTTCGAGACGTGCCGGTGAACGACACCATTTGCTCAAGCTGATTGAACCCCCGCTGTCGACGTTCATCTCAACATGAGCAAAAACACGCGGTGAAGCTTGACGGTCCCAGCTCCGAACTGTATGCGTCATCAACCCGTTGCAAGTAAGCTGAAGGAATTTGAAAGGACTCGGCCTGCCTTGCAGTCACAACTCATTGTTAGCATAAAGCTCTTCGAGACAAGACGGCAGCATTGGGTGCGTTTTAATAAGGCCCCGGTTTTCGTCACCCTCAGTGACAGGCGCGGGCAGGCCACGTCACGACCTGTAATTAAAATGACATACATTGACTCGGATATTTTCAGCGATCGAGACTCCTAGGACAAAATATGGGAAATTCCAAAGTATTTCTGGAGGGGTTCGAGACCGCTAAGTCGGCGATTCGGAGTCGTGTCGGCTTTGACCAAATCCTTACTTTGGTGATTGCATTTTCTCCTTTGAGCATGTGGGCGCATGGAATTGTTCAAGTGTTTGACCGCACGTGCCTGTTGATGTGATTGAGGCTGTTTATTCAAGCGAGCTGACAAGTTTCAGATAGTAAAACTTGTTAATTATCTTAATTATCATTATTCGTAATTATCCCAGATGACTACAGTTATATAGTATACAATTAGAATCCACTTCTATAATGCTCTTTGTTTGGCTTTGTTATCACTGCATGAATAACGAACCCCCTCCCCCCCCCAAAAAAAAAACTTTTCAAAAATGAAACTGGGCATTGTTTGAACGCGCCACTAACCGTGCGTGTTGAGCGCTGCTTTGACAACTGCCGCGGGCTGAATGCAGATTTTTCAGTGAAATGCTACCATTTGCTTACGTTACAACGAGCGATAGAATGTCTAATCTACTTTTACGATCCACTTGACTAACCCCCGTCCGAAGAAAAGGGCCACACCCTTCAGACACCCGTAGTCCATCTTATAGAATAGAGTCAATTTGAACCATGGTCCATTTGCTGATGAACTTGAAGTGACTGCACCCACAGGAAAAATACAAAAATTAAGGCAAACACAACTATTGGTAACCCCAACTATGTTTAAAAAAAAAAAAAAAAAAAACGAGTGAGAGAGAAAATGAACCCGGCACAAGGCATTACTTTCACCTGAACTTACAAGAAAAACAAGACTGGGAAAGTGCGCATGCTTGCATTCAATATTGGGATTCCAACGTCAAGTCATTGTTAAAAAGTCATCCAAAGCCTGCGGGCAGCGGCAGAAATATTACTGCTACTTCCTTATCCTTTTTATTTTGATTAGCCTCAATTAAAGAACGCGTTTCACAATTATGTCATGTACTTCCTGCTTGCAAACGCCCAAGCGTTTCCGAAGGCACTAATCAACTCACATTGACTCCAATTTATTTATTGAGCTCTTGAAAACAACCACCGCTGCATACTAAGTGCTGTACGTGTGGCAAAAAAAAAAACAAAGACAGTCAAAACAATATGTTTGGGAACACAAAAACGGGGCGAAATCATTTCAAGATTTGGAAACAAATAAAAGAATCTTCACAAGAATTCGAAAATGTACCGGGAGCCAGTGAAGCGGACGCCAGAGTTTTTTGTGCTTCCAGTTAGGAGGCGAGCAGCAGCATTTTGGACCCACTGTAGATGCTTGAAGGAGGATTTGCAGATTCCAAAATAAAGTGCATGACAGTAATCCGATGTGCGGTTGAGGAAGGAGAGGCTTGACCTTAGCCAGCTGCCTAGCACGGGAACAAAACAACAACTGGATTCAACAATAGCACCAATTTGACGGTTCAATTAAAAGCACTGTGCAGTTTAAGAAGCAAGTTCGAGACTGTTGGCTTTAAATAAGGCGGCAGGGGGACCAAGTCAGCAGGGTGGGGTGTGCAAGAACCACTGGGACCAAACATCATCACTTCACTTTTCATTGAAATTCAAGAAATGTAGTGCCATTCCTCAAGACGGGACAAAAGGGCCCCGATGAGAAGCTGTCCGTTATGCTCGGCGGGACAGACATCTGACAGTCTTCCATAGAGCAGTGGAAGGAAATACCATGATTTCTTAAGATGGGATCCAAAGGCGGCTGATACAATGAAAGCAGCAGAGGCCCCAGAAAGGAACCCTGTGGAACACCCTTCGACGGTAAGGCAGTTCGTGACTCGGAGTGACCAAGGCTAACACAGAAAGTTCCGTCAGCCCAATAGGTGACGTGGTGCTTCACCAGTCACCTGAATCGGAAGGAGGTGTGTTGCAAAATGCGGAAGCTAGTTGCACATAACCCCTCTGGTCCCAGCAAAAAAAAAAAAAAAAATTGTGGCTCGTGTAGCGGGTGGGAGGGAAAAAAAAAAAAGAAAAAGAATTGTCAATCACCGCATACAACATATAACAACGTAAAACAAACAAAACATCTCGGTCCCCTCCCATTCAGCCATCTCTAATGCACGGATGTCGACGAGTGGGAGAGTTTGACGCCAAACTGTCTGAAGTCTGCTGAGGAGTATTGTTGTGAAATGTTTTGTGAAAAGAGACAGCCGTAGGTCCACTCCTTGCTCCCGCAGCGCTGGCTTTTGTTGCGCGCTTCGCAATGGCACAGCATAATTACAGCCTTGGCGGACTCACCCATCGCCGAGCCTCACCTCACCTCACCTCACCAAAGGTGCATACAGGCACTACCCAAGTAGCAGAGGCATCTAACTCTTTTTTTTTTTTTTTTTGTCACAGACCAAATCGCAGTCATTTTTTTCCCTCCCAAAAGAGGGCCGCGATGACTCTGGACTTCGTATAAGGGGACAGACGCCTCGTCATGTTCTTACAGCCAGGGGGTCTGCGCTTGCTTGGATGGGGTTGCCGAGAGCGATGCCGTTGTTTTGTTTGGGTCGTGCGGTGGCGTCTCTCGTCTCGGTTGCGTGGCGTTTCTGCTTGGGCCAGGGTGCACAGTACACAAGTTCCTGCACGGTGAGACCCCAGATGTCATGGCCACTTCACCTAAAAGTGCGCTTGGAGTTTTGTCCCTTTGTGCGATTGAGTTTGACACCCTTGGCCTAAGCTAACCTGAAGAAAAACAAAGCTGCATCGTGAACCTCTCTCGCAGCAAAAAAAAAATGACACAATGCAGTCAGGCAGGTAACGTTCTCCTCGCATTCGCCAAACCCACGCCTGTCCGTCACACCGCCAGATTGCGAAACGGGACTCAACAGTCCTCAGTATGTTTCCACGACTCCAGGATTCTCGCATCCGGTGATTCATGTCGCTCAGGAAGCGATTGTCTCGGACCAGTGAACATCCTCATCAATATACAGACCGGGCTCCTGCTAATCTCCCTGTTTTTTTTTTTTTTTTTGTGTGTGTGTGTGTTTTGTTTTGTTTTTACGGGTGTTTCAATTGCTCACACACTAAGCTGACACCCACACACACAATTATTTGAACGGAAACACAGTGAGCGAAACCTCTTGACAAGTCTCCAAACATTTTCTGCTTTGAATGCATTTTGCAGGACCAGATTTTTCAAATCTTTTCAAATACAGTCCACAGTTCTCTGCATAAGACGCAACAATCTTACACGAAGTCGCGTTTGCCATTTCAAAACTATGCCTTTCAAAATGACACATGACTCATGAGCTTATTGGCCTTGCAATACGTGC